TACCGCCATTCCACTTCGTCTAGTTTTAACCTATAGAAATGAATGAGTATAAACTGCTCATAGCTTTGAAAGGTGTAAGTGAACTAGTTCATTAGTCATAAACAGGGACTATTGTAAGAACATTTAGAAAGTTATTTTTGATGAAGTTTTAACACATTCATGTGCCCATACTGCTATGGATAAGTGTTTCAATAATTGTAAAATTGAGGAAGAATAGACACTTCCATACAGAACTCCCAGTAACTCAAAATATTGCAGCCTGAAGAAGCTAGCTCATCACTTTATGCTTTTTAAATGTGGGCTGTTTCCAATGACTTCCTTCCAAACAACACAATGCAGAAAGCTGAAAAACATAATGCAAAAATGCCAAATAAACCCCATGTCAGTGAGATGACCAAAATTAATGTGATAATGTTTTGCTGGAAGAAAGTTGCCTTGAAATGATGGTATGACACTTTACTTCTCCGCTGCCCTGCCAAAACACTCACAGCCCAGGCTGATCATGAGAAAAATACGAAATTAATTCCAGTTGAGGGGGAGTCTACAAAATTCCTTAGCGGTTCTGTATGCCTCATTATGGTAGTCTTCAAGTTAAGGAAAGTTTGAAAAATCATCAAACCAAGATAAACCCAGAATCCCATGCGAACTAACAGGGATATGGAATATTTGATAGGATTCTAGCCTAAGTGGAAAGTCAATAATGTATGGAATTACTTAATAACTACCTGTAGATGTTGGCTCTTCAGTACACTAAAGTTGTGTGATTCTAGTAGAGGACATGGTGTGAGTTGTAGAGGAAGTCATTACTACCTTTCATTTTTCTATAAATATAAAAATATTCTAAAATGAAAAGTTCATTTAAAATCCAGACCAGTTTCTTGTCTTTTCTAACTATGTAATGAAATATTAAATATAGAGTGTTATGACATTGGGATTTGTCTCATGTGCCTGATGAGTGGGGAAGGCTGGAAATATCAGTGATCAAGCCTGGCCATCAGTAGTCGTGGTTGAAGGTGGCTGATGAACACTGAGAATGGATTATGCTCTTCAGTTTTGTTTATGCTGAGAGTTTTCTGACATAAAAGGTTTTTAGAAGCATAAGTGAAATTCAGACAAACACTTTGCATACTGGGAACTGTTATCAGCCTGAAGTTCAGTATCTTGGAATTATCTCATACTCATCAAGTCATCCCCCATGCAGAAGCAGCAGGTCAAACATTTTGGGATGTTTTCCACATTTCCAGAAGTTCTGCAAATCATTTTGTTCTCCTCAAAACTGTATTTCTTTGGTAGTTTTTCTCTTCTGACATAAAGACAGCAATGTTTTATGATTCCACATCGTTCAACAAATTTCACAGGCAGAAATTTTCCAAGTTGTCCTCATTGGATAGCAGCCTTCATTAGTGAAAGTTGGAACGGGCAGGGAGCAGCGTGAAGGGATGGGTGAGGGGCAGATGAGGTCCACTGAGCACCCCTTGGCACTGACCCATTTGGTTCCCGTGATTATCTGAATGTGCATGGTGTCTGAAGTCCAATCTGCGGGGGATAGTGACAGCCATCGCAGTCACTGAGGTGCCTTTATTTCCCACCTTGCTCAGCTATGTGCTGGGATGCGGGGGAGCTCCATCACAGAGGAAATTGGCCCTGAACAATTCTGAGCTCAGGAGTGATCTTCCCTCTTTCTGAAGCATTACACACATTTTTAGCTCTGAGAAAAGTGAAGCTGAAAAACAACAGAGTTTGCTAATTCAGCCTGTGGAAGCTGTCTAATTCATTGTTAACTGCAGTGCACGGAAGCAAATCACAAACTGCTCCACCTTAGGCGGGTCACCTCTGTGTTGATACTTCTTTGACAGTTTCACTTTGAAATGGTTGACTATTTTATTAAAACAAAATAAAACCACACACTCTAAATTGATGTTATTTTAACATGTGCAGCGAAGATGAGATGAGCTCAGTTTTGAGAAGTATTTGATTTTTGTGTGTCCCACATTCCTTTCTCCCTGTAGCCATGTGTTCAGTGGTCATTTATTAAACTGATGAATGTTAAGTCATATCTTGTTCTGCAAATAAGACAGTGAATTAATCCAAATCAACTCCTGCCTTCATGAAGCTTGCATGCTAAATATAACTTATGAATACACTTGTGTATTCTGAAACGTATCAGTTTAAAAGGATTTAGCAACAGAAGAATTTTGAAGACTTTATAGTTTTTGTCTGAATTTTTACTAATGTATGATTCAGTGAACATTCTGTGGTATAGGAAAGTAAGATGCTTCATAAATACAATTGCATGAACAGACCGTCAAAAACCTTAATCCTGTTACTGCTTCTGTAAATTTGCTATTTTGGTGCAAATGCCTCAGTCACCTGGGATGCCCTTGGGTTGCTCTTGCTATTGCCACACCTTCTGAATGGTTTGTTCACAAGGATGACGGTGGCCCGTTTTCTTTTCTCCCTGGAAACCGCATAGGAACTCTGAGCCTATCCCAAAATGTTACTGTAAGAGTCGGTCACAGTTTCCATGGAATTAAGAAATTTCATATCACTTTTAGATAATTCTGGCTTTGTCTGCCCACAACATATTCTGTAACATTCCAAAAAATACTTCATTAAATTGATATATTTAATTAAGAACCCTAGACAACAGACTATGCATCCTCTGAACCCAAATATAACCACACTCTGCATTAAAAGAATAAAAATGTATATGTTAAAGTGCCAATATATGATTATACTTTCATGAGCCTATGAGACATAAGGTTCTTAATATCCATTGATATCTTACAGATTATATCTATCTCTATATACTCAAACTTTATTAGTGCATCTATGCAGTACATAATGTGTATATTCACTGTGGGAAAATTTTATTGAAAATCATGGTAAGTTTCACTGTTGAATTTGTTGTCATTGATCAAAAAGTTTAAAAAATAAAAAGGAAACTTGGACTTATTATCTAGAACTGCTGCCACCACTTGCTCACTCTACACGACTCCTTGGCCCTTGCTCTGTCACCGACACTGTTCTGTATGATGAATATCCAGCAGTGGACAACAGAAAACCATTTCCTGCTCTTATCACACTTGCATTACATTTGAAAGGATTGTAAACCAAAACCATGTGAAAGATTTGTAGTATATCAGGTAGTGAAGTATAGAGCTGTTGAATAAAGGAAGGAACCAATGGGACAAAAGCACCCTGGATGTGAGAGGGTGGAGGGACAGCAGGTTCCTAACGTGGGTAGATGGACACTGAGGTCAGTCTACACACCTGGGAGAGAGAGAGGCGTGCCCTGGAGACTGGAACAGACCTCTTGAGTTCAGGGATCCATGTGGTGTGATCACAGAGTAGGTGTGTGACTGGTGTGCAGGCTTACAGAAACCTGGCGCAGAGTTGGGGATAGACAGTGACAAGAGGTGGGATTGAGGAGACGCAGGGTCCAAAGAGCAGAGGTCCTTATTTGCAGGGCACATCTGGAGTCCCACTTGAACTGAGATGAGGCACTAGAGGGCTGAAAGGAGAAGATGGGAGGCTTTTTCAACAGCCTCCAAGTGAATGCACTGCTCTTTGGACTCACATAAAGATCTTGTTCTGATGAGCACCATCCTTGCAGTCTGTTGTCCAAAGTGCTGTCAGTAGTTTGATTGCATTTTTTGAAAGTGACCAAGAAATTAAATTGACAAACTGGAATATATTACTTTGTCTGGACAATGCCAGAAATCCAGAACTATAATTTAAACTTGTCAAACGTCTGTTGCTACTCAGATAAGGCCATACCTCTAATTATACACTACTCATTGTGGCCGACATCATTTCCATGAAAAAATAAGTCTGTCTGTCTGTTTGGGTTTCTCTCTCTACTGGGTCACACACACACACACACGAGCACAGACCATCTTTGGTCCATATCAGCAGGTTCTGCATCTGTGTTTTCAAACGTGTTCAAAGTAATTCAAAAATACATTGTGCATGTACAGAACATCTGCAGACATTTTGCTTTGCCATTACTGTCTGATGAGTACAGCACCTCCACAATCCATTCATCCTCTGAAAGTTCCAACTCTGCAAGCAAGGACATTTGCAGGACACTCGATCTGAACCATAACCATGACGCTGAGCGATGCTACATGTAGGTGTACATACATCATTAGTTTATAACATTATTTCCTATACCTTTTGTGAAGCCTCCTAAAACATAGGTCATTCCATTAGGAAAACTACTAGTCAACTCTTACATCATTAAACCCACTGAGTCTATGCAAGTGTCCGCCAACTGATAAAAATAGATGCTGATTCAACATCTAGATGTTTTGTGAATTTATATACCCAAATTTATCGGAAGTCGCGTATATAATTTTTCCATTTTCTTTGCAAAATAATCATCCAACAGACACTATAGCAGATGGCAGCACTGTCAGTAACTGACATCTAACAAAATGTGGGAAATTAAAATCAAACTTTTCTTCTATTTGATTTCAAAATATTCACTTATGTGATAACATTTTAAAGAAAACTTGATTATACATTATCTGTGTATTAATGGTTGTAGAATTCAGTGTTAAAAGTAATAAATGTAATAAAGAGCTCCAGAAATGTCACAATAAGGATAATCATGTATCTATGACCATAACGGGACACATCACAGAGTTTATGAATGGTAGAAAGATGTCACCAAAGATGTCATCAAAGATGTATTTTTTCTATAAAGGGTAACACACATTATCTTCATTTCTGAACATTATAAAATGAATGAATACCTAATATTTTGTAATACCAATTTACAAAAATCTCAAGATGATTAGCTAACATATTTTGAGACACAGTTCTTAATCTGTAAGTTTATTTAAAATTAAATTGTTTTTGGATTAAAAGAAAATTTAATTATTTGAAATATTATTCTACCACCTCCTAAAAATGCCAATACAGAGAATACACAGAATAGGTTGTAATTTCAGGGCCTCATCAATCATACTTCTTTTATTTGTGTTATTTTATAGCCCCCTCTCCAGTCACCAATGTGAAAAAGGGGAAGATTGCAAAAAACAGCATCTCGTTATCTTGGCAAGAACCGGACCGACCCAATGGGATTATCCTGGAATATGAAATCAAGTATTTTGAAAAGGTATTTTGAGCAGAGTAAAACCAAGCTGTTTTTTCCTTTTTCTTTCTATCTTTTTTCATCTTAGCAGCTGCAGTCATTCAGTGTGAACAAGTGTACGCTGCACTTTTATGAACAAATCAATGGCGGCTGACTGAAGTTCTGCGTGTGGAGGGTCCCTGAGCACAGTTCCCTCTTCTAGCTCCTGCCTTGTAGTTAGCGCCAGCTTCACTAGTTTCCCCAGCATTACAGGATGCAGTCATGGAACATTTCCCAAGGCTGCTAGTACTTAAACTGTTCTTCTTCAGCAGTGTCTGCTGTGTGCTGCGAGGAAGACCTCCTGTGCTCTTGGCCTGTAATTTACCAGAGCACCTGTAGTGTTAAGGAAGTATGGTCCAATGCGACACATCGATAGCACATAGTTAAACTTCCATAGCAAGTATCGAACACAGATACTGTTTTAAAACTGTATGAATGCCATTTCAAAATTTGAGGTTAAAATTAGCAATATATTCTTTCAATTCCTTCTATTTTGATTTCTTCTTGCTACCTGGGTGAGTTGTCTTTTAGGTTCATGGCTGCATATTTTATCATAATAGTTGCTGAGATCTAAAAATAGCAATCATTCTTTCCTGTCTCTTGAATCAAGTAAACTATCTTTGGTGGAGTCACAGAAATGGAAGATGAACATGAGCTTTCCACTTCTGAACTGTACTGGAATATGTGGCTGAAATGCAGAGCTACGAGGTCCCACTCTACCCCACTGCAGGTGTACCTGGCAGGAAGTTTTGTGCAGTCTTCATGTGAATGACATACACTCCATAGGACAGCCTGAGTCCTACTAACAGAGACACTACATGGGTATCCAAGCCAGCCTGCAAGTGGTGCACTGGAGACCTTGACCCAGGAGGGTCGGTCTTAAGGAAGTAGTAACACATAGACCTGGTGCAGACAAGCAGGCTCCCAAAGAGAAGGGCTGAGCCATGCTCACGTAGTTGCTTCTCAAATTCACAAAAATATTACTCCTTCTGTTCTAGGGAATTGTAATGAGCAAATACTTGCTCTCCAATACTGTATTAATCAACTTACCCATTGCTGGGCAAAATATTACATAAGGAGAGACTGATTTGTTTCATAGGTTCAGGGGACTCTCTGTCCAAGTTATCTGACTCCAGGGCAGAAGCATTTGAGAAAAGAAAGCTGCTCAGCTCATGATGTCCAGGAAACAAAGCACCACCCACAAAGCCATGTAGGACCAGTGTAGAGACCCCCAGCATCACACCTTCAAGACCCACCCAGGGACCCCCAGAAATGTGTTTTACCAGTCCACCAGGAAGATCTCAATCAAATCAGGCTGATAGTCCACCGTAACCATTACAATGCCTCAGAAATTGTCTAAGTGAGGATATAGGACAGGTAGAAATAAGTATTTTTCCCTTTCCCCACTGTATAAGATGTTTATGTCCCATTAATGAAAATGACTTAAAATTTTAAGATTATTGATACCTTAGCTAGCTAGCTGGCAAGATAGATAGATAGATAGATAGATAGATAGATAGATAGATAGATAGATAGATGGAACAGGTTAGATAAATATATCAAATGTTATTTTTTCATAATGCTATAGGGAGTTTTTAAAACCATGGTTTTCCATATTCACTAATTCAACAATTGTAAAGCTTCAACGAAGTACAAAATAACAGTGTGTGGTAGCAAAAGAGCTATGCTCATATTATTTCTAGTTTGGAAAATCTCAATTATGTTGATAAATGGATTTTATTGATAGATGATAAACATTTGTTGTTTCTATTGAGCTAATTATCTCTCTAGGAATGAAGCAATGGTAGCATTAACTATAACTGTTAGATCATTAGGAAGCATAAATGATGATTAAAAAAACGTGTCACCAAACTTATGTTCTGTATTACTCACCAGAAATGATCTAAGTGAACTCTTCAGAGATAAGCTCACATAGGGATATTGCTTGCAGAGTTTATTATCAACAAAGGTGGAGCTAATCCAATAGTGTGGACAGTAGTACCATTGATATTGCTGATTCCTGGGATTAATAATCAAAGCAGCATGCAAATTCCAGTGGTGCACAATGTAAACACATACTAATTTAAGAACAATTTCTAAAACTAAGTTTTCCATTCTTTAAATTTTAGTAAGCCATATTGTTCTACACTAATGTAAAAATATATAGAAATTATACAAATATACATATATATGTAATCACGTTAAATTCTTCTATGAATATTTAATTATCCAAATTTTCATTGTGATTAAAGTTGATGCTAAAAGAAGCTGGAATTTTAAAGCAGCTAAACACCTCAAACTCTATGTTTGCATATATGCATATATCATAGATGAAGTAAAGTTTAAAACAGGAAACTAAAAGTTTGAAAAATAGTTATTTACCTGTACTAATTTTTGTTCTGTTGAATCAATAACTGGAACAATGAATTTCTTTTCATCGTTTAGGAAAACATTATTTTTCTTTTCTTCCTTATTAATAATTTAGATTACTTTTCTACTTCTCCCCAGCACTTGCATACTATTCAGTGGGAAAAAGGAAATTTTTAAATTGCTGCTTCCAAGAGAGCAGTTTCTAAACAAGTCGTGCATCAGATGCCTTTTCTTTTCATTTCTTCCCTTAAATTTTATCCGTGCTATCTTGGAGTGATTCTCTGTATGGATCCATTTCTTCTTGAATTATATTCTATCAACATGACTTAGTCTTATAGTTAATTTCTTTTATTTAATGCAGCATTAATAAATTCTGCAATTTGTATAATTGAGAATAAGAAAAATGATTTGGTGACAAAAGTATCAATTGATGTCCTCAATAAATTAATGGCAAGTGGATACATTCAGGCTTTAAAAGCAGCAAAGTATTTGTCATATATTATTTTGATAGACATTAAATTCTTTTTTAGTGTTTCCTGTTTTACAATGAAGATGTTAATTCCCAAGAGTTTTTCTCAAGGCAAAGCATTGCACATTCCCACGTGTTTTTAGGAGAGATTTTTATAACACACTTAGGGGGGTAAACACATAATGAGCTTTGATAGCACATGTGGAGGTGGAGACCTTGGTGGGTTTCCAGAGCTGTTTAGAACATGCAGAGTGACACCGCATTTACTGGCTGGCTGGTGGCCACATACAGGTGGTGAAGCTCGCAGTGCTCGAGCGGTTGCCAGCTGGCATTGCTGCCCGAGAGTGCCCCACTCTAATAGAGGTCACTGGGCGTCCAGCTCCAGCGTGGGGATGGGCCTCTGGCCATCTCTTAATTAACGGCCAAGGAGGAGGGACACAGCCCCTTGGCAGTGGTTGCCAGCTGGCTCCTGGACTGGGCCCTCCCCTCCTCCAGCGGGGAGCAGGGTTTGCTGAGCAGCTGGGGAATGCAGTTCATTTGCTAGGCACAGGCAAGAAAGAGCAAAAGCCACTGCCCTGGTGGCAAATTGGCAGCCAGGTGGCTGTGGGCATTGAAGAGGGGTACACATGGGACTCGTGATATGAAGAAAGTGACAATGAATGTGGCTGAAAATTTTAGAAGATACTTTGTCGATTCATAATATATATTCATTGGTTTTGTTGTTAGATAAATGGTTTGTTAAAGTCTCTTTAATAATACAGTGTTTAGCTAATTCAGTAAGGCAGAGTACAATTAGACCTTGGATAGTCAGTGAGATATGTGAATACTTAAAGTCAGACCTCTTAGTTACTTTTTGTGGAACTGATATTAGGTCACACGTTATTTCATAAGTCAGGACTTTGAATTCCTTGACAATTTCTCTTGTTTGTCAGAAGCAACAGCTAGTAGTATATTTATATACGGAATATACCACATGTTCAATAATTAGGATTTACAACTATTTAAGCTTTTCAAACTCATTATAGTTTATTTTTCTTTCCATTGAAAAACTTTGTCAAGATCCTAGGAAGCAGCAATAAGCCAAATAACCCAGAGTCTATTATATTATGGAGACTGCTAGGTGTGAGGCATAGCTTGTCTCCTCTCAGTTACTTTGATAGTTTCATAACTATTTTAAAGGAAAAGAATTCTAAGGTCTCAATTTTTGTACCAACATTTACATGTACACCTAATGATATGACCAGAATTCTAACAGTTTCTGTTACTGTTGTGATTCTTTAAAAAAAAAAATCTTTGGTATTTTATAAATGTTAATACTTTATGTAAAACTAATAATTATATCAAATATACCAGAATATCACTTTATTTCTGACTAGCATTCTTCATCATATTAATTTTCTTTAAACAGACAGAAGTATTATTGGACAGATAATCATTTCTTCCTCCTGTAATCAGAGTCAAACTGGAATGTGTTACCAAAAATAATGTTACAACTTCTCAGTGATATTGAGAAATAGTAAATAACATTTTAGGGATTAATCAGCTAAAATTCAAGCACTGGTGTGCATTATTCAAAACGAACAAGTAAATGTATTTGCTTTTTACTGCTGTTGTAGACTAGAGAAGAAGAAATAGAGTACTAGACAAAGGATCAATGTATTTTTGTGTGTGTGTGTGGATTAAGAGACTGATATGAAGTGGTAGAATTCTGTAGACTACTTGTTTTAAATTCTTTTTAAAACTACCTGTTTTAAATTCTTTGCAAAACACCTGTAAAATATCCTAAATTCCTTAAGGTCTAGACATGTTAATCTTGCATTAAAAACAAAAGCTCAGCCATTTGTCTAAAATGAATCAGAATACATATCTGTATGATAAATTAGATCTTTTCAGAGTGCAATTTGGGTGTATTTAACCCAAAGATAATATATTTGAACGCAATAGAAGAGGACTGGGAAATTATTTTAAAAGAAGAATGCTCTAGGCTTTATGTTTTAGGTAGTACTAGTGGTGGAAGAGAAAGTGGTTAGAATTCTGCAATACAAATTAAGAAGAACTGAGTAAAATTAAAACAATAATGATGCAAATTAAAAGATGCATTTTAGTTCATTAGAGTTTTCACACACATTATTTGTTTCGTTCAGATACTTACCTACTCCTTTTACAAGACAGGAAAACCAAATATCAAGATATAAATGGACTTGCTATATTTTAATCTGTGATTTCAGTTTCCACATCAATGTGAAACTGCAGAAAAACACTATTTGTTTCGGTTTCCAAACTTACTGTGTCTCTATCCCGTGCTTTCCTAACCCCACTTCCACAGTAGGAGATTTTAAAAGAAAATATTCATATTATTTATCTGCATTTTTCTTTAACATTTACTTAGATTGAGTAAAACAAATAAAATCTTCCCAGTAAAGTATCAGTTTCTTCTTCCAAATTCTAAATTTAATGAAAGTCTTACTCATTGATAATTTAAAGCTGAAAAGGAACCCAGTTCATTTTCTGTGAACAGGTAGCATAGTACTATGCTGTAATAAATTATTTCTGAGCAAAACATGCATACAAATCATGATAATAAAATGAGCATAAAATAATTTTATTTCCCAAAAAATTATATTGTAAATGTTTTACCAGTTTATCTTGTTCAAGATAATGATGGATGGCTTAACAGCTTGTCCTCCAAAACCTTGAATTCTGCAACCAGTTTCAGATACTATGCATAGCACACTGGAAGAATTGTTTCCCAAAATATATTGTACTAAAGCAAGTCCTTTGGTTTATGCTTCCCTTTCAAAGCTCTGCTTCTAAATGCTACTATAACTAGTATTCTATCTGAGCACTTTTTGTTGTCTGCACTGTGTGACCCAGGACCAGGAGACCAGCTACACCATTATCAAATCCAAAGGCACCACTATCACCGCAGAGGGCTTGAAGCCAGCTTCCGTGTATGTCTTCCAAATTCGAGCACGAACAGCAGCCGGCTACGGTGTCTTCAGTCGAAGATTTGAGTTTGAAACCATCCCAGTGTGTAAGTCATTTTAATTACTGTCAGCTCATGTCTGCGCGGTGATTACCAGCGATCAATACCCTCCCGGGGAGCTCTGTGGGTTCCCTGTCTGCTCTGCCCAGGCTGACCCTCGGTGGGCCCCTCTGCCTGGCCCTGCAGGAGAGCTGGGGGGTCAGCCCTGCAGGCCCACTGCTGCCCGCTGCGATCCCCACCCCGCAGCCTGGGCTAGAGCCTGCATCAGCAGGTCCTTCAGTGGGGTTTCCACCTTCCTCATAGAGACTTTGCCTCCTTGTGCTGTACTTTATTGAATTATTGCCATTTACTTTTCCTTGTCTCATTGAACTATGCTACATTAGTCTTTCTGTGAAAATTTCCCAGGGAGCTTTCTTTAACATTGAATTTGACAAGAAAATGGTGTGTTCTGGAACTGATCTGCTTTTTGGGGGCTCACTTTGGCAGCATGTATACTGATTTTTTAAAAAATTAAATCTATGGTGGCATGTTTGAGTCAAGTATCTGGAAGTTAGTCTTTCTCAAATATCCTTTGGGAACCTTTTGCTCCCATAATATTGCATAAAACTTTTTCATCTTTTACACCAATAAACTATTTAGGTGACTTCTTTGCACTAAAGTAAACACATTGAAAGTCAATTTCCAATAACACTGTCATTTGACTCGATAACAAGTGGAATTACTGCATCTGTTTAAGTTTAACTAACGAGAAAAATTATACTTAAGAACAGGGTGAAATGTAGTGTGTGAGTGTGTGTATGTGTCTGTGTGTGAGTGTGTGTGTGTGTGAACATACTCTATAAGGCCTCGTTATACAGGATTTTATTTTATTTATTTATTTTAGGGTTTTTTTTAATGACAACTTGCTTTTTAATTGAATTTTCTAAGCCATTTTCATTTAACATCAAATGCCAAATCTGTGTATATATTCTCACTCTCCAAAACCTTAAGTACTAATGCCTGCTATTAAACAGAAGCCTTCGACTGAGAATGTGGCTCAGCAGCACAGAGCTTGCCTGGCAAGGATGAGGTCATAAGTTTGATCCCTGCTACCAAAAATAAATAAATAAATAAATAAACAAACAAACAAAGGCCTTACCAGTGACGTAAAGATCTTACATCAGCCCTGGAGAATTAACTGTGGACTAAACACTGTTCTGATCCCGCTAGCAAATCAGCAAATCAAGACCAAGAATGATGGAGCTGTCCACTACTCATGTATTCTACCAACTTTGGAAGCAAAGTTATAAAACTACCAAATTTGCCTGAGCACTTTGACAACTATACAAATGAAAATTTATAATAATTTTTTCATGTTTAAGATATTGGTATGTTTAGCCACTAGTTTTTCTTTAGATTTTAACACCAACTTCTACTTTTTACTAACTAGCAGTTATCAGTTATGACAAAAATTCACGAATCTCACCGCTTAAAATACTAATCCTCAGGTCACTTGTCATTTATACTTGTGCAGTCTCACCTGAGAATGTGTACATTCGTTCTAGAGGAAAAGAAATATCACCAAACTTTTTTCCTACAAAATTAGAATGTATTATTATTAATAGGTAAATATGTTTTGAATGTTGTATATCCTACTATTAGAGTCAAACCTTATTTTTATTTCAGTGTGTATACATATACTTGCAAGGGTTTGTTACTTTGTAGAAAGTACCTATTTCATATCATTCCTCTTTCATCTTTGTGAGGAGCCCTTTCTGTATATAACTCCAAGAGAAGGTATCAGCACGAATCCCTGTGCGTATTAGACTTTGGGCCACGAATCATACCTGATGTGAGCACTGTGAATAACACAGACAGGACCGATATACTCTGTTTATATGTAGTAGACAAGGCATTTCAAAAAGTGCTCTAGAATAATGATTGTGTTTGATTTACTTCTTCTTATCCAAAAGGCTTTTCTACTAAGGTCTTGCTTGTGCCTCAGTTGCAAAGCTTCCTTTCTCAAGGCTAGCAGGGAATCAAAGACAATGCACAGTGTAATTAATACCTTTCACAACTCTGGAAACTTAATGTTTGTATTTTATATGACAATGCTTTGTTAACTTTTTGTGAAACCATTTTAATAATTTAATTCTGCAATTATTTACATCTTATCAAAGTTTAATTCTTCAATATTATATTCCTGTCAAAGTCTCCAAATACTATAGTGCAAGAATTATAGTATCCTAAAACATATTTGTCCATTCTGTAAAAGTTGTCTGGATTTTTCATTTGGTGGTGACAGTTAAGAAAGAGATCTGAAGGAGATCTGTCTGATTGTATTTCTTGCTGTTACAACTAAAATACTATGAATATTTGTGTAAACATTTTTATGTCATCATACATTTTTGTTTCCCTGGGATAAATTCCCAAATGTACAATCAGTGAGTCAAATGGTAATTGTATCATTGCATGTGAAATTTCCTATCTTTTTCAGTTTACAGTTCCAAAAACTATGTGAAGCAGTTTTCCTGTATCTTCATGAGTAGTCATTGTTATCACTATTTGTCTGATGGTTTGTTTGCCTTTTTATTGGCTAATTTATTTTATTTTGGAGTGGTTATTAATATTTCTCTGTGGTTTTACTTTGAATTTGTTTTAATGTCCTTGATTGACATCTTTCCTTATGCTCATTTGTCTGTCGTAACGTTTTAGATTTTTCCATTGAGTCATATGAACTCTTACCAGTTATCAAAAACTCCAACTCTGATCTGGTCTCCTACTTAAGAAATTTAATAAATATTTATTTGTGTGGCAGAAATGACCTCAAATGGTCTGGCCTTCAAAAATGTTTATAATCAAAAACAAAAAACACAACAAAACAAAACAAAAAACGAAATCTCCATCCCTGGGGCTGGGGATTTAGCTCAGCGGCATAAGCACCTGCCTTGCAAGCAGACGGTCATGGGTTTGATCCCCAGTACCGATAAACAAAACAAAACAAACAAACAAACAAACAAAAAAAACCCGAAAATGTTTATAATCTAACCAGTTTATTTTTTCACAGTTTTAATGAGTAACTGTGCAACCATGTACCAGAGTCAAAACGATTTAGAGAATGCTCATGAACATGTGAGTTTATACACTGGAACGTGAGGGGCGATTCAAACTTCCAGAGAATTTGGAAATTATAATGATTGTAAAAATAAGCTTTGTTGTGAATTAAAGAATAATTATCATCACAGCTGGCACCCTTTTCTGTGTAATGTGCTACATGGCTTCAGGTTTTGCTCTTCGGTGTTTCTGAAACAAACTGATTACTGTTTCACAATTATACCATTAACCCATTTTCATTAACATACTAAAGAAACTGGGAAACATGGCTGACTGAATTTTAACTTTATATAAGGCCTCGGACTAGGCCTAACAATTCCCCCCATTGAAGATTTAGCAACGTGAAGGTGTTGATAGACCAAAGAAGTTCTCTGCTTTCATCTAATATAATGAGCATGTTCATATCCTCCAAGAAAACACCAGTAAATAAGTCAAAATCTTGATTAATTATATCCTATTAAAAATGGCTCATAAATTAATCATGCATGTGAAGCACTCAATGATTAAATCTCATCAAAAACTTAGAAAATATTGAAAAATTTAAAAAGTAAGTAATGGAAATATAGTCCTTAAATTTTTCATAACCCCTTGATTCAATTGCCAATATTTGTTTAAAAGATCTTAGTTCAGGGAACATTAGATTAAAAACAGAAATCTGAATGTTTGTGATTTGACATTACCTATAAAATGCTATTGTATTAACTTAAATATAAAAAAATTTGGTATGTCCATTAACAATTGTTTTAAAGCATAAGAGTGCTGTTTAGCATATTATTATATTAGCTGTGGACAGTTATTACAATTGATCATCTGAGCCTATTAAGATATAGATAAATATAATAGGCTTATTAAAATAAGCCTATTATATTTTTTCTCAAATTTAATATTTTTGTCAGCTTTAAGGTGCCTTGTTTTTACTTCTCCCTCTATAAATATTTCCTCCAAAACCATCTCTTTCAGAGTTAGCAAACTGGAACATTTAGACCTGAAACACTTGTTGGAGTCACATTAGAAGGTTTTTTTGAATGCTAGTCTGAGAATTTAGGAATCCTCTTCCTAGGTAGTAGGGCTCTGGTAAGTTTTTGGTCAAGGAAAAATAATCAAAGCCCTATGGTTAGGTTTTTAATATGAGTACATAAAAGATGGAACTATTGGTTCAAACATGGTGGACCATATTCCAGCACTTGGACCACAGAGACGTAAATCAAGTAAGTGTGTAGTGGCAGAAAAGATGTGATGTACAAAGTAAAGCAAAAGAAATGCAAAAATACTTATTGAACAATGAGCAAGTAGAGGTTAAGAAATATTCAGTAATCATATAAACAAGAGACTGACCTCATTGGTTTGTTGGTTTGATTGATGATGTGATTGTTGACCTGCTTTTCATCATGCCCTTGAGGGCAGATGTGTGGTAGGAGTCATTATTAAACATGCTTATTTTTATGATCAATAAAATCCAAATAGAGAAGAAGGCAGGTTCTTATTTTTTAAAATGTAGAGTGATGCTTAAGAGAGAAATAAGGATTATAAACATTTGACCTTTCAGCTGACACTTGTAAATTATTGTTGTGAACAAGGAGGAATGAGGGAAGAGAGAAAGGATGAGAGAGAGGACAGTACCAAGCGAGGAGAGAAGTGGGGAGCAGGGGGCGAGGTTCACTACGCTCACTCAAAAGACGTGCGAAGAGAATGTGGAGGCAGCGAAAGGGCCACATCAATGCTTTGGAGAGCAATGAAAGGAAAGCATCTTGCTGACACCACAGGCTGCACGAAGCAAATGATGTCGTGAATAAGGTACAAGTTCAGCAGCATCAAGTTCTTTATCATCATCCTGTGCAAGATGTATTTATTGCATTTAATAAATATCATGCATAAAACTCAATGGGAAAAGAAAAAATTTGGAGGAAATTCAATAATATTGACTCTCAACATACTGACAAGTACCAAATAAACAGAATGATAAATTAAGCAAGACATAGGAAATAGAAGTGACATCTACTCTTTAGTTAGGACTGTCAGTCATTGAAGCATTATGCTGCCTACTTTGGTTTTATTATCTATAATTAAAAAAAAAAAAAAAGATAATGACACTGAGAATTTCTTTTTATTCGGGAGTTAAGGAAGTAACTTTTAATGATGGAATAGTATCCTGGGCCCATATGTCTCATAAATGTTGGACATTTTTTTCAAATTCAGGGTGAACACAAGTGAGTTTACATATAAGCATTTATTTTTCCCAGCTCAGAGATATCCTTTTAGGCTTGGATTGAGAAAGAAAACAGCCTTTAAGGGGATACAAGCCTGTCCTACAGGGAGGACTTGGAGGAAGAATTTGGAAGACAAAGGAGAATATTTGACAACGGAGTTAGGTAAAGCAAAAGAAAGTTATGCCGTTACGATTTATCTGGGTCTAAATTGACCACTGTCTTTCAGCTGTAAAGTTTAGCATTTCTAAAATATGCAGGTTGAGCTAGGTATGATAGCACAGGTTTGTAATCCAAGCATTCCAGAGGCTGAGGCAGAAAGATTGTTACAAATTCAAAACTAGCCTGGGCTACAAAGTGAACTCAAGGCCAGCCTAAACTGCATAGGGAGGGCCTGCCGCAAAAAAAACAGAAGAAGAAAAAAGTGCAAATTGGAAGTGGACTGATACACTAAAAAAATGAGGAAGATTTATTATGAGAATGATTTTGTTTGCCAATTAAGAATCAAAGGCATTCCAGCAGCAATGGCAGCTCACTGGAAATAATACTGAACTTTCATGATGTTGAATCAGGTCTCCGTGATTTGCCGTGTTGAAAAGAACCACGATAGAAGCGATCTTAGTGTACAGAGCAAGAAAGCGTATCTTGGACAATGCTACCAGTGATCGTAGGATAGTTTTTGCTCCCATTTATATTGCTCACCGGGAACCAAATGTCTTATCTATACCTCAGCTCTATAAAAGGAGAAATTAGAGTAATGAAGTGTTTAGAGTAGGAAGAGAAATGTTGTAAAATCCAAAGCTATGATCGGACCAAAAGCTGGTAGTGATGGGAAAAAACAATAAAACAAAACAAGAAAAAGAAAATGTACTGTGATTATTATTAGTTCTGATGCTTAAACTTTTATGTCATGGATGTGAACTTGTGCTGCTGTGAAATTCTCAGAATGCTTATGCCATTAAACAAGAAGCACCTCAGAGCCCCTATGAAAGATGATTGAGAACCACAGGGAAATTTATTTTTCTTTGTATGATTTTTAGCCCAAGCATGAAGGAAAACTTTTCTTATTTAGATACATCTATGTAATAATGTTCCTATTTAAGTTATTATCACATTTATAGCAATTATATTGACAGAATATAAAATACTTTTTGAAATCCATGCAATACAAAAGTCATATGAGGAGATCTACTCATTTTGCAGGTTTCTGGAAATTGAAACTTATGCCTTGATAATTTTCAAAAAGTGATGTTATTGTAAAGTACACATGCTGATTATATTCATCTTGGTATTATGTTTTACTTTCAAATTATTATATTCAGACAACTGATACTGTTTTTAACTTCTCTTCGTTTTTAGTCACCTTATTTTGGATTCTCTGAGTTAATCAGATTTTTTTTTTCCTGGAGAACAAGAATGTGTAAACTCTAAAAATGTCAGACTTCATATACTTAATACCTTTCTCTTTAGATGAAGGTATTTAAAGTCAATGAGGGTGTTTTGTTTTATCCTGAACACCTCAGGCTCCTAGATGACTGCTATGCAAATAGTATATATTAAATTTTTATGCTGACAAGGAAACAATCAGTGGCTTAGTGATGCTTTCAAATTTCTATTTGAAGAGTAAATATTTCTCCTAAAGATGTTTTTTCAATTACACACTTTTGAGAGGAGATATTATGGAGAAATCTCAGCCAAATGTGAATGAATTGCTTAAACCATGAATTGATTACTGACTATTAGGTAGCTTTCTTTTGGATACATATGATCATGTTAACCACAAATTCTGTTTTTCTGTGTCTCCCATCAGCAGTTGCAGCATCCAGCGATCAAAGCCAGATTCCTATAATTGCTGTGTCTGTGACAGTGGGAGTCATTTTGCTGGCAGTGGTTATTGGCTTCCTCCTCAGTGGAAGGTAAGAGAGGATGCTGTGAGTCTCAATCTTTGCAGCTAATTTCGTCGTCACCTAGATCTGACCATTTCGTTGTTAAGCACATCCCAAAACAAATCAAGCCAGTGTTGTGTCCCTAGATAACTTCAATGCAGGATGGATTCTTCAAGCCTTATCTTGACCAAATTAGTGCCAGTTCTGCAGCACATAGTGTCTCTTTTTCAGGTGTGCTCTCCTCACGGTAGTAGGATTGAAATGCTCTTGTTTATTTTGCTAATATAACCACATTGCTTCTTGTGATACACCGCATGTTTAGTTTGGAAATGGTGTCTCCCACAAACCTCCATCATTTCCTACTTCAATTTAATGAGAGCTTGAGAAGACCTAGGTTTGTGCCTAGTAGATGTTTAAGGAACAGGTCTAATAATTCTACAAAGCAGACATACTGCCAAATTAACAATTTGAGTAACAACCAGACTTTTCAGTGATTGTTTTTATTTTCAGTTCCTGAATCTTTTCAGCTGGAATACATCGATCATGGTGGATACTGACATACAGTGAATTTCTGTGCTAAAAGATATTTGCATATGTGTGTTATAATACTACTTTTTTTTTTCATTTTAAGAACATAAGACACAGAAAGAACAATTTGTAGAGATGTTTGATGAAATTGAGCTAAGCATTATAAGACTTCTTAAAAAGAAGAGTAAATAAATAAATATGTCCTATTTTCATAACACATGAATTTTTATATTTCAATCTTTTCTCCCAACCATTGTGAAGAATAATCATTAGTGAGACTATTCCACTTGAAAATTAAGCCATTGTGGAAAAATTGATGGAAGTATATATGTGAATATGTAAAGCTGACAAAAATGTGAAAATGTGCTTTAATTTCGAAAAACAGAGAATCAATTTATTCATGCTGATTTTTTTAGTTTTTTACTGTTGAGTTTTCAAAAAGTAATCAACTTGTAAAGAATTAGACTTTTGTTCTTTCACTATCCTGTATGTTATATTCTGAAAGAATTTGTGGCTGTACCCTTAGATTACAGAAGTAATGGTTTATTTTTTTTTTAAAGTACTAGTTCCTTTGAGTATTATTTTTCTTTCTTCTAAACGCCTATTCAAGTCTGTTAAGAGTTTTCTAAAGAACACATGTTCCAATCAGTTTCTTACTTTGAATTTTAGAATTCCTGGTTGGGAGCCAGCTCTGTGGCTTGAGTATGCTGAGCCCAGCCCAGCCCAGGCTGGCCTGGAGTGACACTGGCCTCTCTTCTCTTTGCAGTCATCTGGGGAGACTGCCCAAGGGATTCCAGCTTTATGGAAGATAAGATCCTTTCCCGATTCTGGCATAAAATCTTTTCATCGGAAGGGCTAACAAAGTTCCCCCCCCCCAAATAATGAGAGGTTTAAAAAGTGTATAAGCAAGTTTTTAATGCACTAAATTGTCACTATGTTGTTTTATTGAATGTATAGTCATGAATTTCCAGGGACTTTAGTCATCAGTCATGTGATAGAAATGTTTTCAGCTAAAATGTTTTATTTTTCTATCACACTATTTTATACCTACACACACATTCTTTTATGTATATAAGCTAAGTGATACGATTCTTGGAAGACATTTTTCTATCTCATCTCAGGCATTAGACTTGTAACCTTTGTCTTCGACTTAATCTCACCCACCCAGTATTACCTAGATAGACTTGAATTAACTAAATTAAGATTCTTGGAAGATATTTTTCTATTTCACCTCAGGCATTAGTCTTGTAATCTTTGTTTTGGACTTAATCTTACCCATCCAATATTATCCACATAGTCTTGAATTAACTGAATTAAGATTTGCCAAATGAAAGGAGAACTAAATGTAGAAATGTAGCCAGACCCTAGCACAAATTTGGGAGATTTTGTTGAATTCCAGAGAATTATTGAATACCACTTGTGCTATAAATGATGTAACAATGTTAAATTATATATTTCTTCCTCTCTATGCCCAAATAAACCCAATAAAGCCATTCTATGAAACAGTTACATTATTTCTCATAAGCAACTTTTTAATTAGATATTGACACTACACTATCAAAATTAAAATTCCAGGGTTATGTCACAAACATAAAAGCAAGTAGTTTTGTATAAAGCACAAATGGGGAGGGGTGTTATTGTTTTTGTTGACCTGAAAATAACAGTTAAAATTTGCTGTTTTGTAGATAATGTTTATTCTTTTAAAGTACAGGTAGTAAAATGACAATTTGCTTAATGCAAAGATTTATTGAGCACTTATTTGCATATCAATATCGTCATTCTTTGTATAGCAATGTTCTCAACTCAAAATGTTTTCACTTTTATTTTAGTACCCTGAGAGGAGGTAGAATTTCATAGAACAAAATTAAAATGGATAGGGAAGAGATTTACAACAAAATTGAAATTACTCCTTTTGTGGTAAAAGTTTTCATTCAGTCTAAAATGAATGTCCAATTCATTATGTTGGGAAATATTTAAGTTCTTATTTTTTGCCATGATTTGCATATTTCAAAAAAGCAATATGTAAAAAAAAAAAAAAAATAGTCACTGGTTTGAAAGTAAATGTCCTTAAACTTAGAACTTTTTTCAAGCTTATCTGAAGTAAATCAGATACTTATGCAGATGCTTTGAAATCAAGGATTTAAACAGTTATCAGGCCTCTGCCTGTCAGGTGTCACAGCATCATAGTTTCTTAAGTGAGTACTTAAATAAGGGTTTGAAGTATTCTAAAACCCTCCGAGAAGCCAGCTGCATAATGTCATAGGAGAATAGTACCGGTATGCACCATACTGCCTGACATTGATGACAAAAGATCTAATGAGCACCATTCTAAGGGTTCACAGGGGATGTCGAGCACCTTAGGGAAGCACTTAGTTCCATGACAAAGTTGTGTCTTGCTTATTCTCTGAATGCTCTAAGATGGCCTGTCCTGAGACTTTCGTCCAGTTCTTCCTGCTGTCTCCTACCTGCTCTGCCCAGAAAACAGGGATTCCTGCTTATTTCTGAAGCTCTTTGATCCATCTCATTCTCTCACTTGTACTTGATGACGCCTGATTCCTTCCTCTGCACACGAGAACTATTTATTTCCTATGTGTGGCACTGGCTGGTTTTTCTTTATGTCTCTTCAAATGGAAGGTAGGGACAAGTTCATAGAAGAGGGAGCTTTATCCTTGTTCCTTCCACACGTACCAGACAAGGAAACTGTGTAGCACATGCAGCTGTTTATTGAAGATCTGGGACTTGAATCCAGCGCTGACTTTAAGATCTTTACTATTCACTATAAACCTTTCCCATGACTCATAATCAGTCTATCTCTGAACTCATAAAATCCCTGATTCGTTGCTGGTGAAATAATGGTATTGGCCTTTCAGAACTTTTTATACTGATCAGTAATATAAATAAAATGTGTCTTAGAAGTTAATGTCAATATTCTCTTGACATTAAAATAAATGACAGATCCATTAGATCTTAGTGGATTCTTTCTCCACCCTTCAGTGCAAAAATGGACCTCGTAAATTGTATTTATTTTAAAATCAAACACACACACACACCTGTGTCTCTAATCCCATGACCATAACTGACTTGTGAAAACGGGTTAATTTCAATGCTATGTCCCCTTGCCCACTGAAGTATTTTATCTTATCACTTGGTATATATGTTTTCCCTGATGGATCTGTGTTCATCGTGAACATACCGATTATGGAATAGGGTACAGAACAATGCCCGATGACAATATAACTGCAATAGTGAGGCTTAAGTTCAGAACTCTTAAAATGTGCTTTAAACTATCTTTCCTGCATTATTACTATGTTTTTTTAAACTTAAATTTATTTAGTTGCAACTAACAGGAGGCAAATTCAATGTTGCAATCCATAAGAATGATAGATCATGTAGCTGAACAGTTCTGTATTTAAAAAGGAAATTATAAGCACTGGCAGGTGCGAGTATTAAAATGATATCTGCTATATACAATTTGAGACACATGACACAAAAAAGCTTTTCACAATATGATATTTAAAGGTTCTGATCCAAAGGAGGTTATTGGGTTGGGCCCAGGGACACTGTGACTTTGAGAGACCCAGTAGAGGAGGGAGACCCATATAAAGTGGATTAAGATGAGTGACCCAGCAGGTTGCAGGAGACCAAGCAATCTCTGGATGATTGAAAGGGGAGTGGTCACTGCTCCTCCCTTCACGGTAGAGCTCACATGAACTAGAACAGAAATAGAATGCCCAGATCAATCAATCAGGAGAACTTCCCTTAGGTAAGCAAGAGACGGGAGAGCCACCTTACAGTGCTCGGCCCAGCATAGTGGGAGCTCTGCGCAAACATGAGGTGAGGTTCGGCTCCACACAAGCACAGGAACTGAGGAGGAGGAGGAGGAGGAGGAGGAGGAGGAGGAGGAGGAAGGAAGCTCTTTCCATTGACCTTCATCAGAGCCTCAGTGTTCTCCAGGCATGCTTCTGCTGTTTCTCAGTGGGCTCATTGCCAAAACTACGCTTCTTCTTCCATCAAAAGCGCCCTCCGTTCCTCTAGCCAAATCATCCTCTCATCCCGCTGAGGTCTCACAGCAATCTGTCAGCGTTTCTCATAGTTTAACACTTTCAACCACAAATTAGGAGACACTGAACAAACACCTTCCCTCTTCTGTCTGCCAGTATTTCCGTGGCTTTTCCAAATGACTGAAGTGAATGAATACCTTGTAAATTATTAAATTAAAAATAACCTGTGCTTCAGTCTCCTTTTGAAGTCCTTTGTCCATTTTTCTCTATTAAAGATAGTTTGAAAAATGGAAAATGTGAGTATCTCTAACATGGATGTGTAAGAATAGCCAACCATGTTTTCTTAAACTCTTGGAGTCAGCACAAAATAGACACAGTGATTTCAAGTATTACATATGTGGTATGAAATCTTTCCAGGCTTACTATAGTATTTATTTTATATCTACATATTCTAATGCCAATATTATGTTGCACCTGGTACTGTCTGGCGTAGCTTTTTAA